AAAAGATTAAATAGCCTTTTTTTTAAGTAGCGTACTTAAGATATGTTTCTGTTGAATACGAATCTCAGATTTCCGACATGTGTCACCCCCAATAGTAAACATATTCCTACGCCCTTGGTGTTCGCTGTTAAAGGTTTGGAAGTACAGTAGGACCAAAAACAGAGCTTTTAACCTAATCGTTTTCACAATATGATGTTCCCAATGGAAAATCCTAAAATAGATCATTTTTACCAATTCAACCTTTTAAACAAGTGCATTCCTGTGCCTGATAGCAAACAGTCTTAAAAGGAGCAGCTCTTTGTTAAGCTTCATAAAACAGGTGTCAAAAGATGGGTTGATGCGCAGGCTTGTGTGCTTTTCCTGGCCTGCTTTGCAATTTAGTTTAATGCCTCCTAAAGCTGCTTTTCAAAAGCAACCTTAATGCCTATAATAGAAGTCTACAATGATGGAGGAAGCAGCCAAAATCACAGTGTAATGCAAAGGGCCTACATGTTAATTTTACAACCACCAGGTCATAGTTATTTATGTTTGAACTAAGTGCACTAAGCGATACTTTTTATCAGCTTGTTAAAAGGGGACTAAAGTAATATGACATAATTAAAAGGTTTCAGAAAATAAAAGAATCAGAGCCGCCACAAAGTTATTTACTTGACAGAACAGAAATAAAACATCTCGTCTCACACAAATACAGCTTATGCAATGATATTAGCATCATAAGCAGCAACATGGTCCATGCAGACTTGCACAAAAAAGGCCGACTAAAAGAAAGAGAGGTCAATTGATTTTAAGGGTCTGCTTCCGAACATCAAAGCGAATACACACTAACTTCAAGCTGAAGAATTCAAAAAATAAAATATGCCTTAATTTTTCAATCTATCTTGACAAACTCCAAGTTATCTTAATATCCAATAGGAAGAAACACAAAGCGCAACGTTGGAGACGAGCTTGAAAAGAAGAGGCAGGCATCTCATTAGGACAAAAAAAACTGAAAGAGGCAAGGAGAGCGAAGAGCAGGAGGAAGAGGAGGCACCTGTGCGCTGCGCCAGCGCTCCTCCCAGTGCTGCTTCTCCAGCTGTGTGTGCTCCACAGTCAGCTTGAGGCTGGACAGCTGGGTCATGAGCGACTGGTAACACACATGGAGAGAGTAAGAGATGGAGAGCTAGAGAGAGGACAACAGGAAGAGGGGGTTCACAGGTGGGGGGGGGGAGCAAATTACAGAAAGGAGTTAATAAAGGAGAAAAGAGGAAAGAGTGAAAAAAGGAAGGGAGCACTGTGAGCGCAGAAAAGCAAAATGTTAGACTGTTTAGTTCTTAATTTCTCTGTTCAACAGCAAAACCATTTACTAAAAAAAGTGTTAGAAAATATGAATCATTCATTAGATTTAAACAAATGATAACCTGTGATGAATGGAAATAATTTGTTTGCAAAGAGCGGACATTGTTACCAGCTTTCTTTATTAGAGGCAGTTATTAGGCATCCAAGAGTCAGTCAAAATGATAAGTATTCCTAAAATGATTAAAATGACATTCTCCATTGGATCAATGGATCAAATGTTCCCTATTCCATAACAATGTATGCAGAGTTCTCAGTACATTTTAATTTTTTCTTTTTTTTAAGTTTAATTTGATGCTTATGCTTTTTACAAAATGTGATAAAAACATTTTGTGAATTCATTTCAGCCCTTTGGTCGTATCAGGCTTTAAATATGGATACTAGAATGAATCCCTGCCATAACTTCCCATTATAAAGGGATCCAGGATTATTTGTCCCAATAGATCTTATTTCAGAAACATCCATTTCTGATGTAAATATCATAAAAATACTGTATAGCTGTTTAGTTTTTTGGGGAGCGATGTCCTAGTGGTTAGAGCACAGGGTTGCCAACTCCCTAAAAAAAAAAAAAGGGACACCTTTGACCCGATTGCCTTTGATTGAATTAGATGCATATTTGTGAATAAGATAAACACATGGAAAACAAATTATTATCCAGCAATTCACTTTATTACAAAATAAACTTTGCTGAATAAAATAAGTATCTTAAACATAAGCTTGTCCTGCTTGACTTCAAACTGTAAAAATGAATATTAAGTGCACATTTTTGGTGCAACAGCAAACTTGTGCAAACTTGTAAACATATTTATGCCTTAAATGCAAAGAATGTAGGCTACAGTTGTAAAACAGAAAAAAAATAATTTTGAGGATAAGGGGATTCTGGATCGATACATACGTATATGCCGTCAGCTCATTGGTCACCATGCAGGACAGGGGCCGGGAACAAGTTTACCGTAAGTCTTGTATCTAATGTGCCCTTGTTGTTCATTTTCCATTAGCTTTTTACTGACTATTTTTCTTACTCTCACGGTAATACGGGAGAAAGTGCGTCCTTTTCCACTAAAAACGGGACAGGTATTTATTTTTCTAAATACGGAACGATTACTTTTTTCAAGGTATGGTTGGCAACCCTATTAGAGCATTACGTTTGGTCCCGGAGGACTCCAGCGCTTGGGTCCCACCCTGGGTCCCTGAGCAAGACCCTTAACCCCAGACTGCTCCCCAGGCATCGCACAATGGCAGCCCACTGCTCCCCAAGGGGAGGGGTTAAATTATCGAATATATTTATAAATGTAATAAAAATATTGTCACACGGACATCCCCAAGTTGTTTACCCTGCAACGCATTAAATGACGTGGAAATGAAATATGCTAGGTTCTGTAGCGCTAGTTCCATCCAGCCAAAACATCGAAGAGTAACGTCAAAGTTTTAACTGGAAAGTGTTGAATTTGATGAATGAAATGAGTACGACCAAACGGAAGAGAGAAGTCGGAGAAAGCAGCTAGTGTTTGTGCGGCTGTTGCTACTAGATACTAACTCCGACGGAGAGCTATGCTACAAAGCGCTCCAGTTGCTAACTGAGGCTTTTTAAAGTTAGCATCAGGATCAAAACATTTTCTCTGATATAAGAACAATGAGTTACTGAATTATGCTTCGCTGTCAATTTAAATAGTCGTTCATTACGTTCCGATTCGATTGTTTTTTTCATGTTGGTGTTAGCTCTGGCTAATAGTAGACCGTAGATCACAAGCCAATCACATTTGTTTATTTTAACAGCTATCTTACATTTAACGGTTCATGAAAAAAAAAAACAAATGAAGCAATGTAGTATTGTCTGCATTAACACCCGTCAAACACATTAAGTTAAAAAAAGACTAATGTTAGCCTTCCTGTTTTTACTCTATAGGTTCCAGGAAAATCAGACCTAACGCATCATCAACCCAGCATGCATTGCACTGCTGAAAAATGGCGACCTCAATGAGTGAAACATTAAAAAAAAAAAAACGATGCAGAATTTTTAGAGTAATAATATTTTTCATTTATCATAAATTGCAATTTTTGCAGTAATAGGAGTAATCCAACATATTTAGGGCAACATTTATAACTAGCTTAGGATCCCTTTAAATCACAGTAACACCAAATCAAACTTTATCGAGTCAATGTCTTCTGCATCTACAGCGTGACATGATGTAATCACTGTATGCCCTGTGCTCATTTCCAAACAAATTATACATCTACCCATCACTTGTCTGCAAAATCAGACCATGTATATTTAGTAAACTAAGCTGAAACTTTCCCAAATTAGTTTCAAAATCATTCATTGTGAAAAGCTTTTAAGAAAAAAATGTACAAATGTTGCAAAATCTGCTGTGTTAATGATGTTAATTTACATTTAAAATGTTTCTTATATCTTCTCTAGAGGAAAGGTTTTACCATGAGGTTACTTTTAACGCATTTTCGATTGAAATGTTCCAATTATCATCCATTTCAAAAAATTAAGCATTTCCACCCTGAATTAAAAATTAGGAATTCATGCTCAGATCCATTTAAACATAAAAAAGTATAACTATGTGTATGCCTTAAGATGTTAATAAATAAACAATATATAGACCAGAGGAAAGGAAAAAAAATCCAATCTAACGCTTACAAAACTCATGTCTAAATGTTTATTTGCAGGACAGAAACATCCTGTGTGCCGTTTGTTCTTTGGAAATTTCTCTCCTTCAACACTTTCACAGTTTACTTCAGCCTACATTAGCCTCCTCTGTGATCTCTGATAAAGATATGATATAATGAGCCCATAAAAGACTCACAGCCAGCATCAGAAAGAGCGGACAGAGAACATCTGTTTCTTTTTCTGCAGCTGTTCCTGGTAAAACACAACCGATGACATGTGCATCCAGGCGCGAGCAGAGCTAATTCACTCCATGTACCTTGGTGGCTCTGAGCTTCCTTTCATACAGGCTCTTTTCTCCCTCCAGCTCCTGCACTTTGCTTGTCAGATGTTTGATTTCTTGAAGCAAATCCTGCAGACAAAACACATGCATCAGGCTTAACAGTAAGATCTACAAAATGATGCATGTTTTCTTTAGGTCCCACAATGAGCAGCAGTTTCTCATCAACAGTGTTGGGTTGGATACATGCCAACATATGAACTGGATCATATGTAAAGATCAGACTAATGTTCAGTCCGGTTATAAGAGTTCTCCAGGGCTGGAGAGTGCTCTGGTTAATATGGGGAAAACATAATCCTCCTGAAACAGACACCACAGCGTGCGGTTATCAGCAGCCAGGGAAAGCATAAACCCATAAAACATGACTGGAAGGCGTCCAGGTGGCACGTCTGCCAGCAGACGCTGTACGAGGGGAACCTTGAAAATGTATAATTATTGTTATATGACCCATCCACCTGGTCAAAGTAGGAGGAAGCAGACATAAACTTTGTTAGTAACCAGAATAATGATCATCATGCAAACAAACCAGATCAAATCCAATAAAAACCACAACATTGACCCCAAAACACTGATTTGAAGAGGCGAAGAGAAATTCATTTAAAAAAAATCTTCCAAATGTTTCTGGTATTTCCAGTTTAAAAGCAGAAAAAGATTCCTGAGGATCTAGCCTCAAAGAGTTAGAGCATCCTTTAGACATATTGGCAACCATGGTCAAAACATGCAGCAAGGGAATCCAATTTATGTTTTGCTTTTTTTGTTTTTACTGCAGAAGCGTAGTCTTTCATGGCAACATATCCAACCTTATTTTAAATAACATGTATTCAATCAGTAAAGCTATTCCATTCATAGCATCTTTATTTCTACATGCTGTAAATGCTATGTTCTAATCTGGCTTAACATCTTATCATTGGTTTGAACATTTTTTCATTCCAACAGATTTTTATTTCATAAATTGGTTGGAAGCTTAAATAGAAAATAAACCAATGAGGCCATGAATTCCAACCCAGTTTCTATAAAGTTTGGGAAAGAATCAGACCCAAAACATTATAGATTATCCACATAACCTCCCAGTTATCAGAATATTTTCTGAATAAGAAAGCTGAAAACTGCAACTGAAATTCAAATGCCTTTTTTTGTACTTCTGTCAGGAAGAAACTGACAAGCAAACAGACGATGGAGAGATTCTGTAAAACACATTTGGAATCTCAGAAATAAAACTAATAATATAATATTAATAAAGAAAACTGCAGGCAATGTTTATGATATTAAACCAAAACAAAGAAAATGAGAGAGTTCCATTAACGTGGCATACTTAAAAAAAAAAAGAAAAGAAAAACATCAGAAGAGCCTGCAAAAGGAGTAAATACGCGGGAGCGTAACAGGACGCAAGTGCAGCAAAGCGGCATGCATGGGCTACGCGTGTCACAGCTTTATTGCACTTGTGCACATTTACAAGTCTGCTGTATTTACTGTTAAAGAGACATGCAGTTTTCTTTGTCCTCCTTCAGTTAAAGAAAACTTTATGTTTTACGATATTTCCATTTTTTATATATAACCTGAGTGTTCTTATTTATCTTAAATTTTTTTGTAGCATTTAGAGATAATCTACCTATGTCAAGTGCTCAATAAATATTATTACCTATCATAATTATAATTTTCTAAATAATTCTCATCATTATTACCTCCATCTCCATGGCTTAGAAGCTCATCCTTCTTTTACAGCTACTCTGAAACTGAAAGTAAACTGCACACATCTGATCCTTTTAACAGGCAAAACCAAATAGGGTTGTTCAACTTAATATTTGTGCAGCAAGTTCTGTAGATCACCAAAATCACGGCAACTTATTGCACGTGCTAAAACAAAATTCTAAGTGCAGTTTAGTGAACCCTTCTTGGAATATCTGAAGAACAGGACCTAATTGTAGCTAAAGCTTTTAACCAGTGGTTAATATGATGCTTTAACATCATAGTTTTATTCAGGAGGACACAGCAAGTTTTTAATAACTATCTGAAAGATACTAGAGAGTTGCATCAAAGTACCTTTTATGCACTGTAGAACAAGTCATTATGTGGACAAAATGCACATTTTTGAAAAAAGTTCCTTGCTCCCTGATTAAAGAAATTCAAGTCTGATATTATGCTTCTTCAATAAATAATTTTTTGTATTTGACACATTTTGACCAAGAATACCAGTGTTTGTGGTGGGTGCTGCAAATGTCCCCATTTTAAAACCCCTAATGATTTGGCTCCTCAAATGAGTGATTGCATTTGGAAAATGAAATGCTTCCAGCAGAGCATCACCCCAACATCCTGCAAGAAACAAACTGTAGAGAATCCAAACACACACACAAAAGAGAGGTTGTTAGTTTGATTCTGTGGAACACTCCAAATACCAGCAGGGGGTTTGTGGACTGGTTAAAAGGGGAGAGAAGAAGAGAAGGAAGGATGGTGGACGTATCGTAAGAGGAGTTCATCCACCATCAGTTTCCGTACAGGCACAGTATGTCTCTCTCCACTGCGTTTCAGCGAAGCGCCGCTCGGGTTGGACCCGGCATTAGGGTCGCAGCCCTGAGCCGGGCCGCCACCCAGGTCCCCCTGCTGGGCTTCCTTCTCCTCGAGGGCTCGTTTCTCCTGGATGCGAGTGCTGATCTCTTCATGAAACTTGCACATCTGCTCCTGGAGCTCACTGATGAGATTTACCACACACTGGCAGGGATGGAGGAAAAAATTAGAGACCATGTCAAATGGAGAGATGGATGGAAGATTAAGGAGAAATAAATCAATACTATAAAGAGATTATAAAAACATCAAAAACCAAACCACTAGACTTAGTGATGCAGCTGTATTCTGCTTTTTGTACACATAAGTGTATACAAAAATAATTTTAGATTTAGCACAGCTCTCTAGGCTTTTTCATTTTTAAGTAAGTGGAGAAAATTAAATTTTATATTAAATGTATTTTTTTTTATATATATACTTCATTATATTCAGCTGTGTTTTACCTTTATGAGAGAAAAATTCTATTGCATGTTTTTATTTTTTTCCAATTATTTGACACTGGAATTATTTTTCGCTATGCAGGATGCTGTTGCTGTGCTCTTACTGAAATAAGTCTTTAAGGATTAAATGTTGAGCTGGAAAAAAAAAAAAACTTTAACTAAAGTGCAAATAGTATAAGTTAAGGGTAGAGATTAGGAAATATTTAATATTTAAACTATGGACATTTATTGAAAAACGATATGATATTAAAAAAAGTTTCAGTCAGCTTAAGTTATTTCTAATACCGTACTTATTTATCCATTGAGACTAGATTATTTGTCAACAGTTAAGGAGGGCAATAGCTAAAAATATGTTTTTCTGAAATTAATCAGTTATTGGCCAAAAAAAAAAGGCAAAAAGTAAATAGAAGAACTTAATCTTGTCTTTTATAAATAGAAAAAATGAACAAAGAACCAACAAAGCAATTATTCCTAAACTTAAAATTGATGGAATTCCGTGAATTAGCTCAACATTTATTTTTAAGAGATTAATCAAATATAATTTGCTATTAAGATACAGAGACATTAAATCAGTGGATAATGATATAATAAGGAAGGACTGTTTTATTGCATGCTTGGTTTTAAGGAGGTAGGCCTAAGTATACGACTGCTTAATTTATGTCTATGTTTTAACAAACAGATCTTATGAGAAGCGGTAGATTATACAAATTTTCCTTTTCTTGCTCCTTTCTTTCATAATAGCTTATTTGTACACATTAAACAGTTAAATATAACTTCAAAACAGAACTGATAAAATAATAAATAGTAATGAAGTATCAAAACCTTAACAAGAGTGTTTGTTTGTGCGAGATATCGATGATAGTGTGAGACACGGTGGTGGAGCAGGTCAAGCACACAATAAATAAATGCCTCCTCATAAATAAAGGCAATTAATTCCATAAAAATGGGGGAAAAAAATTTATTTATAAGTTAAAAGGGCACATTTAAAAATTAACATTGCAAACCCTACAGTCTAAAAGGGAAATTTATCTGCTTGGAGCAAACCTTTTCCTGCAAAGTTAAGATCATCAAGCGAGCTCTGTGAGACTAGATCAAGACAGGCATTGAGAGATGAATACAGAAGCAGTTAGGTACATAGTTGTTCTTCTATACAAATCATGTGAAGTCTTTTAGCAGCCTGTTTGCTTAACCTGGAAAATGCAGCATCAAACACAGCGCCTCATTCCCAGGCCTTCGACAGTCGGCAGCAAGTTTGTCTTTTGTGCTGGTGTGGTTTCCTGAGGTGAAAGTGTTTTACCCCCAGGAATGCTCAGAACGGATACCCATCATTCCTCCTGACAGCTCACTGGAGCCTGGCAGCTGTTACCGAGCACGCACACAACATACAACGCCGCCTTTAATGACAAAATGCACACAAGTGCTCCCATCTGTATAGAGCAAAAAAGGGCACGTACAGAAAGGAGTATGGCAAAAACGTCCTGGTTTATAAAACCATGCACACAAATAAAACCAAACACCTCTCCTTTATAGATCAGAGCTCTACCTCAAAGTTTGCCTCCAAGGATCGAACCTTTAGCTCTCTACATGCCCACATTCAGCCATGAATGCTGCACATTTTCACGCCAAGTTTGATTTTAATAGATCACAACATTTGCATGAAGGCGGTTTTGTTTGTTCACAAGCTTTATAAATGAGAACCCTGGTGACTCCATCACTATCTCTGCTCTATCAAGATATGAAAGGAGCAGAAATTTCAATTATTGTAATACCACAAACTTCCAGATGCATAGTTTAACATTCTCTTGTACTATGTTTGAGAAAACGTCTTTTACCTGTGCACCATTTTCAGAAGATATTTGATCATTTTTCACAAATGATTGAAGGTAAAACAGACTGGTAGCAAATGATGTGCTTCAAACAGCCTGTATTAAATTTAACATTTTACATCACACATCAGCTGTGTTTGGCTGCACACCTCTGATTCACAGTGCACAAGTAAGCCATCTACAATCTATACTATACAGTTTCCATTTTGTCTGTGCAGGGGGCAGGTCTGTGTGTATTTGTACGGTAAGTTATTTCTTTAATAATGATGAGAGTTAAAACCGATTTAAAAAAAATCTAGAGACCGATTTATTGGCTGGTCGATATTTTTCTTGTATCTGCATCAGCTGATCCATGCACGCTTTGGCCAATTCATTAGCGCATCCAGCAGCGATGCCTGGAGATCAGATGAAGCGCTTACCTGAGATTCCTTCCATTAACCATCATAAATGTTAGTTTTTGTTTAAATTTAGAATAGTTTAATATTTCTTAATCACTGTGCCCATTTTGCAATGCAAGTGGAGAACATTTATCAGCAGGACATTACTGATTGATGTCAAAATATTTTCAGCATCAGCCTTTAAATAATTGAATGGTTATTCTCTAAAAAAAAAAAAAAAAAAAAATCAAATACTGTGTCTTTCTAATTTTTTTTGTCTGCGTCTGTGTGGCAGCTACTGACTTTCAATTTAAATAACGTCTATACATCCAATCCATCCATCCATCTTCTTCAGCTTCAGTAGGGAGGCCCACGCTTGGGCCAGGTTCTCCGGGGGAACCCCAAGGTGCTCCCTGGCCAACTGAGAAACATAGTCCCTCCAGCGTGTCCTGGGTCTCCCCCTGGGCCTCCTCCCGGGACGTGCTAGGAACACCACACCAGGGAGACGTCCAGGAGGCATCCTAATCAGATGCCCGAGCCACCTCAACTGGCTCCTCTTGACATGGAGGAGCAGTGGCTCCACTCTGAGTCCTCCTCGGATTACTGAGATCCTCACACTATCTCTAAGGGAGAGGCCAGACACACTACGGAGAAAACTCATTTCAGCTTCTTGTATCCGGGATCTCGTTCTTTCAGTCATGGCCCAAAGCTCATGACCATAGATGAGGGTAGGAACGTAGATCGACCGGTAAATCGAAAGCTTTGCTTTTTGACTCAGCTCTCTCTTCATCACAACAGACCAGTACAGGGCACACTTCACAACAGACGCTGCACCAATCCGCCTAACGATCTCCCGGTCCATCTTCCCCTCATTCGTGAACTTCTATACAAAATAAAATCAAACTTTCCAACAAGCAAAAAAATACTCGTAACCAACAAAAATCTTTTCCCTTTCATCAGTGGATGAACACATCATCAGTCTGGTCAGTGACGTCCCTGAAACGCTCACTGGCCAAGCTAACAATCTATTCCTCTAAATACAAGCGTATCCAGGAAGTACTTTTAAAGGTACACTATGCAACCGGTGTTGATTTTCCAGTGAGGCTCCCCCCAGAGGGCGAAAGTAAAAGTGCACTGTCGTAAATATGCTCAGCTGTTCTCCTGGTTTCTCCGTCAAGCCAGGATCGGTTGTTTTGAGCTTAGCAGACAGGCGAACGCAGCGAATGACTAATGCTGCGTTCACACTGGACGTAGCTGGCGCGACAGAAGCAGCGAGTTTACATGCAAAGTCAATGGTTGACGCGCGTCAAGGCGCAGCAAAAGGTCCCGCAGCGCGTTTTGAGCTGCAGGCGCAGCACGTCTGAGCGGCTGCAGCAGCGCGTCGGGTGCGTTTAACGCAGGGAGAGAGACACAGCGCTGATGATCACTCCTCTTAAACAGTTTATTGACGCCTAAATTAACTTAAAATGCAGAAATCTGCCGGCAGAATATGCAGTTTGGATTATTTAGATGAAAAACACCTACCAGCTGCCGCGGTGAACCGCTGCTGATGAAGGGATCCATACTGTCGGCGCACCGCTGGTATGTGGGGGTCTGAGCGGCTCCGACAGAAAAAATATTGTAAGGCAGGATGATAATCTGAATGAACTGACTGCACTGATTACGTTTTCAGGTGTATTTTCTCACTTAAACACATATTAAAACTACTTTATTCCCACTGATCACAGCAAATATAGCTGCAAGGCAGAGAAAGGATAGTGAAGCTCCGCCCAATGCGCCTCAGACACACTTTTGCACCGCGCAGCCAGAGCAGCAAAGCTGCTTCAGCCGCGTGTCAGAACTAACTGGTACAAGCAGCAAAAATGAAGCAGCAGACGCAATTTTGCTGCTTTTGCTGCGTGAACGTAGCATAACTGCACAAAGATCGCCACTGTGCTAGCAACGAGAATGCTTTTAACTGGGGCGTGTAGCAGTTCTCGCCGTAAAGCAAGACTGACTCTCGCAAGACTTCTGAGCCTGTGGGTGCGGGTCGGTGCTCCTGCAATTGCAAGTGCAGTATTTCCCCTACAGACCACCAGGGCGGCCGAGAATACCTTTGTTCAACCTGAAATGACTCATTTAATCATCCATAACGTTATGGAACACATTAATTAACTGAAAAATGTTGCAGAGTGTGCCTTTAAATGGGGGAGTGCCGTGAAATTTTTATTGTTTTTTTTGGACAAAATACCTATGAGCCTATAGCCTTAATACAATAAAAATGAAAAAAATAATAATTAAACTGATTGAGATTCACTACTGTATTGTCAGTAGTACAGTTCAGTGTACAGTTCAGTGTATATGACAGCAGGGTGCCAAATGATGAGGTGCGCTCTGAGAGGACGAAACCGAAATGCGCTTCTGCTCCATATTTCCTTCTCTTTCTGTCATTAGACTCTGTAACTTTACTACTCTGCTGCGACAAGCGGGATACCTCTCTACTCAGCAACCACTAGCTTGCTCGACGTTGCCGTGACAACGTAACTTCAGTGAACTTGTGTTGATTGGGCCTCAAATTAATTAAATAAAAACCAACATACACGTAATAGTAATTTAAAAAAGGCAAAATAATTTCCCCAAATATTAATAAGAAATTTATGAATTGTGTAAAGTATTTAAAAAAAAAACTTTTTTTTTTTTTATCTCCCTCTCTCCAATAGGAGGTACTGCAGCACCCCTAGCATCCCCACTTCCTATGGCCATGAACACATCACACAGAAACCACGAAAACAATCTAAGTACTCTATGTGCTCATTAAAAAAAAGTGTTTTTTATTTTCTGATAAAGGTCTGAAAACTATTTCAATATCTACCAGAATAGGATGACAGACAAGAGGAAAGAGATAGAGATGATTAAACGTTATGACAGTTCTGATTCCTACAGGGATTCACTGCAGAATCAGACTGCAGACATTTTTATGCAAAATAATTTGTAATGCAAATATATGTTATGCTAACGGTAGCTTGTCTTGTAGGACAGGTTTCTTTGGCAAACATGTTTTCCATGCTGACCTTTTCCGTTTTAATCATTTTACCTCCCCCACTAGCTGCTACATCCTCTCTGTCTGCCATCACTGATGCTTATCACTTTCCATCCACATATCACTGGCCTCTGAGCATCTAAAAGGCTTCATCAAGCTTGTAGAGTAAAAACATCGTCATGCTCAAAGGCACACATGAGCGAGCCACAGGAGCAGTCTCAGGATCTGCTGAGCCAGTGGGGAGCAGCCAAGTGTCACGATGAACAAAATGAACACAAAGAAAGCAGCCAAGACAAATAAAGACTCAACAGATAACGGCGGGGTGGAATCATATGAGCATTATTATATGAGACCCACAAAGTTCTTAATAGGATTGTTTTTGCCTTCAGTGGAGCAGAAACTCCCTGCTAACCTGAGCAGAACCTCTGCTGACTGCACGCAACCTTCACTTTCTATAAATTAAACCTCAACAGGTTCGAATGCAGCTGCTGTGACGGTTTAGATGTCATAAAGTTTAAAAACATCTGTCATAATCTCCTAAATTATGGGATACAATCTTTTATCTAACCAGAAATAGTTCTACCAACTCACTGTAAAAAGTCTGACTGGTACAGAAAAGCAGTAGTAGTAAAAAAGTAAGTTTTACTATTAGTAAGTTAATTTACTAAAACTAAAGTTTTTTATGAATTGCACTCTACTTTTTTTTGTATAAATGGTATGAGGTAAGGTTGGACAATAACTAAGTATCAATATCGCATTTAGGGCAGCAACTAATGATTATTTTGCAAATCGATTAATCTTTCGATTAAATTTTTTGATTAATTAACTAACAATCGGATAGTCAAAGGTTCCTTGAAGAAGACTTTTTGTGTAATCAAACCAGGTGAAACTAACTCTTTACCACTTGAGGAGTTCTGGATGGAGCATATTGATCGACATAAAAGATTTTTTATCTTAAACGCAAAATCTTTACATATATATTTTTTTATAATTTTGGTATAATTACTAGTCTAAGTGGGTCACTCTGTCATTTAAAGCCACGTTTTAGAGTCTCTATACTCCAGTTAACAATTAATCTATTACTGAATTAGTTCATGATAATTTCAATAATGGATTCAATAAGGGTCAATTGATTAATTTGTTGATTATTTTTTTGTAGATTAATTATCGGATTGCCAAAGGCTCCTTAAAGAAGATTTTTGAACAAATCAAACCAGGTGAGACTAAAAGTTTTCCACTAGAGGAGTTCAGTATAGAGCTTATTTACAGAGAAAAACATTTTTTTTTTATCCTAAAGGCAAAATGTTTCTATATTTTTTCTACAGTTTTGGTACAAATACTCCTCTTAAGTGGGTCGCTCTGCCTGCTTAATGCATGTTTTAGAGTCTCTACATTCCAGTTAACGATTAATCTATTACTGAATTAGTTAACGATAATTTCAATAATCGATTAATCATAATTAATATGATACATTTTTTCAGCCCTAATAATTAAGTTTTAAAAATAATTTATTCTATAACGTGATGTGACCATTAAACTAGGGCTCCAACTAAAAATTTTTTTGTCAATTGATTAATTTGTTGATTATTTTTCTATTCAATTAATAATCGGATTGCTCTAAAGAAGACTTTTGAACAAATTAAACCAGGCGGGACTAAAAGTTTTCCATTTGAGGAGTTCAGTATAGAGCTTATTTACAGACAAAAACATTTTTTTTATCCTTAAGGCAAAATGTTTCTATATTTTTTCTACAGTTTTGGTACAAATACTCCTCTTAAGTGGGTCGTTCTGCCAGTTAAACGCATGTTTCAGAGTCTCTACACTACAGATAACTATTATTGGATTACTAAATTAGTTAATGATTTAAATAATCGATTAATAACAATTAATCAAATCAATTGTTTTAAACCTACTTTAAATGCATTTCTGGTGTTTTGATACTATATATATATTTTTTTTTTGTTTGAATGAGGAGAGCATTATTGGATGTGTGAAGTAATTAATGTAGTTTGAACTGAGCAGAGTCTACGATCACAGTATTTGCAACACACTGTCAGCGATAAGGCGACCAAATGTCATGTGTGAATTGATCCAGTTGTTTTAACTGAGCTAATTCTTGCCTTGATAAAGAGTTTATTATAAGCTAGATGTTTCAGACCTCATAGGGGATGTTTGCTTTGGACATTCAGAGCTAATTATGAGTTATTTGGCATATTTATTATAGTAATTTGTGAACACAGTCTTTGTGTGTCAGTCTTAAAAAAAAAAAATAAAGGAGATGACAGAAAAACAGTGAAAGAATTAACAATATCATTGACTGATAGATAACGAGGGAAAGATAATCCCCGTGTATTAAGAACATTTAATCGTATGAGGTTGTAGCGCCAAAATAAAAAACTTAGAGGTTTTCTTTTTACAATTATTTCTATAAAAAAGGAGAGTTAAATTCCCAGCAGCCAGGAGCTTGTTGATGGCTCCAAAAGGAAAAGGTTTAGAAGCACCTTATAAAAAAAAATAAAAGTCCAACCAAGTTAAGTTCATTTCAATAAGGCCGCTGAATAATTACAGTCCATTGAAATGCAAAAAAATAAAATAAAATTAGTGCCCAGTAGTTTGTTCCACTTTTCAACATTTTAGGAAACGAATGAAAAACAATAATAATTCCAATCGATAAAAACGAAACAGATCAAATAAAACAATAAATATAGCATGTATGGGTTAATGCCCATTACTGTAAACACACAACCAATCTGTAGACTTTAGAGCTGTAGATTCCAGATGTGACTTTTCTATTTTTGCTTTTTTTTTATCCTTTTTCTTTCACTCCACTGTAACTGGCGGAAAAACACCAAACTTCTATAACAAACAAAGACTCTGTTCACATTAAGCCCTGATTTTCACACTCCTCCTTCCTGAGGCCATCACTTATCAACCAACAGGTGGGTATCACAGAGACGTAAGGGGATTAAACACTCTCTAACACATTATAGAAGCTTTGATTCCTTTCAGCAGTTGCCTCCTGGACAACAGAAAACCAAACGATCCAAAAAGGGCTAAAAACAAATAACAGAAAGGAATTTAAAATCAATTCATACTTTTAGCAAGTTAAATTTTTGATAACTTTGACTAGTAACACTTCCGGTCTCAAAAAGAAACCTCCTGCAGTGGAAAGACACTCATTCTTGCATTACTGACTCTGGCAATCTGCTTAGAATTAATTCAGCTGCAATCTCCCCAAAGCTGGATTTCTCTGGTGACTCAGAAGTTTGATCTGCAACCAAAAAACGCTACAGTATAATAAGTAGATGACATACATTAAAATGAAGCACGCCTCGATGCCCCAAAGCTATACCACACATATCTGCAATATTAGTAATGAAGTCATAAAATTAAAGAAAAGACAAACCATCATGAGAAAATTGTCAAAATCTTTGTCAAGGCTTTTCAAAAAAAATGAGCAACAGCTTATCTTTTTTAAGTTTTTTTCAAAAGCCGATCATTTTTGCTTAATTGAACTTATAAGATAATGTGTTTCTAGGAGATACGTTTGACTAAAGCAGGATAAGTTTGCTGACATTCCATACCTCAGCTTTGTTGTTCTTTGTGTCGGCGGCATCCTGTGGGTTTGTGTTGGTTCGCGTCTCCTCCATGGTGACCAGCTTCAGTTTCAGGTAGGACACTTCGTCCATCAGATCCAGCTTCTGAGTCTCCAGAGAAGTCCTGCTCATCAGCTCCTGAACATAAACAACATTAAAAAATGTACTTTTTGACTTTAGTTGTACATTTAAATGCGAAACACTGGTGTTGATTTTGCAGGAGCCAGAAATGCAAAACATAGCTGAGTCTTACATGCAGGGATTGAGAAACTCCACTCAGCACAATGTTTTTCCCACAGTAAGAGAACACTGGCTGGGGAGCTAAAGACCCCACAAAGCTAAATATACATGCTCTCGTGAACACACAGGCTAGCTGCAGACTATTAATATCGCTGTCCTTTATTGGTCGATAGAAGGGGAAAAAAGCATGTCTGAAAAAGAGGCAGATAAGTGATGTAAACTCCTCTGAGTATAAAAAAATTCTCTGGTTTTATGACTCAGCTTTCAATTCCTCATCCAACTTACTTCCGATTCTGTTTCTTGTTTTTTTATAATCCATACTTGAGAAGCAATGCACTGATGATCTTCTGAATCTCATCTTTTTCTTTTGGTAACTAGGATAGAAGTTCTGGTATGAAATCACTGATTGTTTACGTCTACATTTTCATTAGGTAGACATTCAAATATATATTTTTCTTCTTAAGATTAGGTCAGAACAACCTAATATCAATTCGGATAAGAGTATAAAACAAGTAGATCCTCATGACTGACTAACTTGAATAATAATATATTTATATATTTACCCCACACGCAGTTTCCAGTTCCATTTTGTAATAATTTATAGAATGGTTTTTAATTAACGCACCATTAAGGGTACGCCTTCAGTTCACAGAGTGATCAGTAAATGAGGTGGAATGTGGGTGTAATGTCTTGCCAGAAGACATTTTAGAAAGATGTACATAAAATCCTGTCTTTAATATTAGACATTTCTAATGCACGTGTAATACTCTGTTAGATCAATGATCAATAAATGACTTATGCTCAGAATAGTCTTGTTCAATGGAATACAAAGATTGTTTTCTCTTTGTAAAGCCACTACAAGAACAGGATTGAAACAGGCAACACATTTTTATTGTTGTCTTTGGAAAATTATACTTCTGACTTGGCAAAGTTTTTACACTGGATGCCCTTTCTGGTGCAACTGGGTTTAAAACAGGGCTGTTCCCTTCATTCTAATCAAAAACTTTAACCACTTCTCCATGGGGTTGATAATGGGTTAAATTTCAACCATCACATAATGGGTACAGACATCCAATATCCAGTTAGAGGAAGTAGTATGTTGTACTGAAACAAAGGAGCTCAGAGTAATGAAAGAGAAACCACTGTTCCAAATAGTGTCCAGGTTTGGCTGTGCTGGTTGCTGGGAGACCAAAGTAAGTATCGAAGTTTTAGGCTGCAGTTTGCATGCAGAATGGGAAGAGCAAGCACAGCTATGGCATTCTTCAGTGAGAAAGAAAAAAAGCAGGCATATAAGTAGCAGATACAGGCGTTAAAGGAATAGTACACCCAAAACATGATTAGCCTTCATTTTCTACTCGCCCCCATGCTGAACAACACTCTGGAGTA